GATATGATATATCTAATTATCTAATACTAATGAACGTTATTGTAGAAATTAGATAAAGCAAAAAATCATGATAGTAAACATAATATTAATCATCATCATCATCATCATCATCACATACCAAAATATAACGAAAAACACACAACATAAAAAAAAAAAAATAGACATATCATTATATGAAATGAATACTGAAGTAATAATGGTTATTGCAAATGTTGGACAACTCATAGTAATAATTTTAGCTATTAGATAACAAAAAACACAATGAATATTGACATATAATTAAACACATACCACAAACCTTCCATTTGAGGATGGCGGGGGGTGCAGGCTAGGGGTTATTACTGGGTAGAACATGGTAGAACCGCGGGATTCTAACCACCATAAGTTTGGATATTGGGTTTTTCTGACCGCTCATAACTTGAACTGCACACCCACGGAAGGCCTCTAGCCTCTAACAAAATTGGAAAAACAAGTTTGAGTTCAACATGGATCCAGAGGTAAATGGCATGCATATAATCACTATATAGTTGCCAAGCAGTACGGCCACTGAGGGGAAATTGCATTGGTCGAAGCTTCGCAATGCGGTCCTGTCTGAACCCTCCTTGTTGCTGAGCTGCAAGGGCTGCCGCTGTTTTCGTGGGCAGGTTTCTTAACTTCGAACAAAGCACTCATCAAGGACCAACATGCCAGTGTATCCAAAGACCCGACTCTTCACTCAAAATACTTAGGTACTATAGTTTTCCTCGATTAATTGTCTGATGGTCAAGTATTGTCCACATCTAAATCGAAACTGGTTGTACAATAAAGCTATTCTTCACCACTGCATCCCTTGGACCGGGCTGAAAAAAGGTCGGCCCCTTTGAGCTACAACTGGCGTCGGCGCTTGTCCTTGTCCTCCGTGGCGGTAGAGGAAACCTCAGAGACGCGGTGGATGACTGGTGGTGGAGGTGCCCTTCAGTTTGTTAGCCTGTAAACTGATGTAAAACTCTAGTATACAGTATAACTATGGTATATAGTGATTTAATGTTATACATACATACATGCATGCATGCATGCATGCATACATGCATGCATACATACATACACATACATACATACATACATGCATGCATGCATAGATACATACATACATACATACATACATACATACATACATACATACATACATACATACATACATACATACATACATACATACATACATACATACACACATACATACATACATACATACATACATACATATATACATACATACATACATACATACATACATACATACAGACACACACACACATACATACATACATATATATATATATATACATTATATTATTTAGATTTAGGTTTATAAGTTTATAGACCAACTTTCAGGGGCACCATGTGGTGGAGGTAAACAGGGTGGGATTTCACTACAAACTGCTGGACCGATCGCGCAATCAGAAGTTTTTTTGTTGGGGTTTCCTAAAATGTGTAGTAGGAACTACTAGAGGCTTCCCAAAAAAGTGCGAAGGGAACCTAAGATATTCATGTTTGATTTTTTCAATGGGGGAAAACAAGGGATTTGATTTTAGGCACCTCAAGTTTGGGAACCATTCAATAGATGGAACATATGGGAATTTTGCTGGTGAAAAATATGTGATCAACTGATTAACTAGGGCTGTGGAGGTGAAATGAATCGGCCCCTAATATATCTGGAATATATGTTGTATATGGAGGTTTTCTAAAATGGGGGTGCCCCAAATTATCCGAGTCATTAGACCATTTTAGTATTGAAACCCATGGTTCTGCGGGAACCACCATTTTAAGACAACCTCACATTGTTCTACAGGGACAATGATAAATCATGTCTTGAAGCACCAAAAGTTTGTCACGATTGTTGGATGATAAAATGGGGAAACGTTGGCATTTTCCTGCTGACTGAATTGAATGGCAACTTGATCCGGAAAATTGCTGTTATTTTATTTTAACCATTGAGTTTTTGAGGTTTCTCCGTTTTTCTGGACAAACCAAGGGTTGATGGAGATGAAACAAGGCCCGCACATGGAAACTTACGCACTTCCGTTTTACCTGAGGAAAACTATGGAAATCATGGGAATTTATGGGAAATTGACCCCTCAATTTCAGGTATTTGGCACAAAACATGCGATTTAATGTTTGGTCTTGGCAAGGAATGATGAGGAGCTAGGGGATCTCAAGTTCTTGAGTGGCTTAGCCACCAAGCAAAAATAATTGGATTGAATCTGCACGAAAAACAACCTAAAATACACATTTGAGCACAAATGGGTGATTTAAGGTTGTCGTTCAACAAGTCTATGGTGATGTTCAAACATTCAGGTTAGCTAACAAACATGCAGCTCTGAGTCAGGAAACATGGGCACACTTATCGGCAAACCTGGGCAAACCTGTGCATTTGGGGTTTTGCCTGGTAGAAAGTGGAAGCTTGTTCAGCCTTGATATGGTGAGATGGATGCAACTCGCAAGACCTGAGATTAACTCGTACTCAGACAATGGTGATTTCGACATATGTAATGATTAGAACCAGCAGCATGCAGACTATTGCCTAACATCCAGCAACCCAGGAAAGTGAGGAGGAGGAGGACATCGATGCAATTCTTGAAGCCGGCCGTTTCCATGCCAATGTGAAGAGGCAGCATTCGGCATGAGCGGTCTGCCCGGGAAAGGTGCTGAGACAAGGACGGGTCAAAGTTTCGTGGAAGATGTGGAAGGTTTTTACCACGCCGTGGTGAGAGGAGCGCTAGGGGTAGCCAGATTGCCCGTAAATGGGAAGCCAAGGCGCTGCTAAGAGTTTCCCAACCACATGATAGCTTGCGATCCTTGCTAATCAACAAATGAGGGCAACTTGAAGCAACTTGAGCGTGAGCACAGGTCCCAAGTTTTGCATGGTTTGATACCATTACTAAAGGTTGTACATAACATATGTATTTGCAAGCATGAAAAATTATGCAATATTATGCATATATACAACCACTTGGTTCCATCGTGGCCCAATCTGTGGGTCAGTCGTCAGTCACGAATTTTTGACCCGGACCTAAGTGGCTTCTGAGGGGAACCGCGTAGCTTAGTTTCAAATGATGATGCATCGTTACCTCATTCTGGGTAAACATGTGTCTATGTGGTAAACCGATGTCATGCGTTGATGGGTTGTGCTTCGGCAATTTTCATGGAGTAACATCATATCACCCCACTAACGATTATTTCTCTTGAACGCTATCTAAGGTTAGTCGTCATTGCATGCTGCATGTTATTGCATGTTGGAGATCCAGGTTGGACCAGGGTGGTTCTGTTGTGCTTGCAGTAAGTCAAAGCCTGGATCAAATTGCAAGAATGGGCCTGTCTAGAAATGCGGTATACCGACATGAACATTTGAACATTTGAATGAAGGGAACATGATGATGAACTTCTGGATACCCCTGGTTTTTGAGGGGCCCTCATGATTTTCAGAGAATTATGCTCTATCTTTCGGCCCAGCTTGGTCCTTAACATGTCACACTTAATGACAATCTCTACAGGCAACACAATTGTGCTATGGCAACGGTGCAGAACTCGTGGCTTTTTGGTGGCCGATGGTTTTCATGCAGCGGTGCTGATCAAAAGATTTGCCCAGCAGAGGCAGCAGAGGTGTTTGCCAGGAAAGTTTACCATATGATATCCCATATGCTCCATGTATGGAATATGTATCAACATTTACCTTCAAAATCACCCAAATGTATGTAAATATACCAGCACCATAGAGCATCTGGGTTTCTTCTAATTCCAACGTGAAGCATCCCAAGCAACCAACCCACTGGGTCGTCACCATCAATCCCAAAGAGTATACCGAGTTGACCTCGTGGGATAGATTCGGATAGATCTAGCACAGGTCTATGACAAGCAACCTGGAAGGTGTGTTCGCGAAGACAGAAGCAGAGATGGGATGATATGATATGATGATTTCAATTGGGACAATCCTGCCCTGGAAGTTATTATTGTTATTTATTGTTATTAAAATATCTACATATTTATAATTATGAGTAACCGACAATGTGCGGAAGATTAAAGTAGTAGGGAGCAGATTTGGGATGTTCAAATGTGTGTGAAAACCTTCGCAACGATAGGGGACCATCCACTTGCCGATACCCTAGTTGTACACATAGCATGGAAGTACAAAACTTCACAACCGATAGGGGACCACCCACAACTTGATCCACTTTGGCCATCCATGGCGAGTTGCTAGGGTAATTTTATCAAATTTCATCCGCCACTCATAATATATACTGGTTGAAAGTTTGGAAATGTTTGGAACATGGCTTTTATGACTTTCCATATATTGGGAACAATAATCCCAACTGTCTTTTATATTTTTCAGAGGGGTTGAAACCACCAACCAGTATATATACCCTTTGGTTATTTAACATAGCCATGGAAAATGGCCCATTTATAGATGATGTTCCCATTAAAACCTCCATTTATAGGGGATTTTCCATGGCTATGTTAAATAACCAGATGGTATATACATACATATATATATATATACATTATATTAAATAAAAGTTCATATTGCATCCCATGGCCTCGTGATTTTGTTGGGCTGCATTCGAGCAAATGGTGATTCCACCTGCACTATGTCACTATGTCCTGCGCTCACATCTGAGCACGTTGGGGATGATGGTCGCCCAAGTCATGGTGCTTCTGAAGGTTCTAATGAACCCGAAAAAAGAACAGCAACTTGCTAAGTTTCATCAAAAACCACAAAGATGCGAGTATCCTTTTTTCGTGTCAAGACTACGGCGGAAAATCGATGAACTCCTCAAAAATAAAGACGCGGATCTCAAACACCGAGATTTGATTAAACTGCTCAGCAGATAGAAAAAGAGTGATTTACCCTCTGGTAATTTCACAGTTTGGTATGGAAAATTGACATTTATAGATTTATAGATGCTAAAACCAGAACCTATCACTATTCTTAGGTTCGGATTTGACTGTTCTATCTGTTTGGT